CATGACAACTGCATGCCAGCCCTCCTGGATTTTTAATGAGGATTTTGGGGCTCACACTCAGGTCTTCGTGCTTACACAGCAAGCGTGTTGCCAACTGAGCCAACTCCCCAGCCTTGTGCTGCATTTTAATCTCAGATTTTGATTACTTGTTTTATTTTTGTGTTTACTATTTTTAACTCCAGGCAAGAATTTTCAATTAGTTTTCTTGTGATTCAATTCTTACCCTTAATTCAAATGAAGAACAAGTAAACTATTATAAGGTAAGAAACATGAGTTCCAGTCTTGGTTTTGCCATAAAATCATTGTAAATTTGGTATAGGTCTCAGTTTCCTCATTACTAACATGTTCCATTTTTCATCAAATCAGTGCAGGGCTTGCAAAGTGTCACTTTATGAACTTAAAACACACTGCCCATTGACTTGCAGATGGCTGGGGCAGCTTGCCAAGAGGACAGTATCTCCCACCTGGTTATAACAGCTGCATGCTCCAGCTCCTCCTGCATGTCTTGGCTATTTACCAGTATAAGATGTCACAGAGACATGCTTGAGTTGGCTGGGAACCAGTGTGACATTTTGAAAAAAGAAAATAAGAGCTTAAGGATGATCAAATTCTCATAAGTAATGTTAAACAAAAGCAGGCTATGTTGCTTCTAATTTCCTCTAAAAGCATTTCTTGTGTTTACACATAGAATGATAAGATAAATACGTCAGCCTGTCATGTTTCCTCATGTGATGTGTGGGTTGCTAGTGCATCAGAAAATCATCCATTTTATAGGAATCAGAGAACAAGTTCTCGAGCAGCAAGATAGCTGCTAAGCATAGTCCATATATGTCAGAATCCTGAAATTGTAATGATTTTTTTTATCCACATATATGTATATGTTTATGGGTGCATGTATGTGGAGGCCAGTGGGCAATCTTGGGTGTCATCCTCAAGATGTCACCCATCTCCTCTGAGGCAGGGTCTCTCATTGGCCTGGAGCTCATCAATTAGGCTAGGCTGGCTGGCCAGTAAGTCCCAGAGATCCTCCTGTCTCTGCCTCCCAAGTACTAGGATCACAAGCCATATTATCACACCCTGCACCTTTACATGAGTTCTGGGGATGGAACTCAAGTCTTCCTGCTTGCAAGGCAAGCACTTCACTGACTGAGCCATCCCCCTAGTTCTATAGTGATAGTCAAGATAATTCAAGCACAAAAGCAAATAGTGGGGCACCTTATTCATTGTGCATATACAGAGATGCTGGCACTCTGTCATTTAGGGAAAATAAGATGCAATTACTTCTACAAAACATGTTTGAGCCTTCCTTTCAGCTCGCTGTACAAATTCATGGAGTTCAAAAATGATTAAAGCACTATTTTGAAACTTTCTACCTAAAACAGTGTGGTTTGTTTCCCCAAATCACCTACCATTTGCATACTCAAAATGATTTAGTGAGAGCCTTGTGTGTAAGGAATTGAAGGGGCAAATTCTCCATCTCTGCTATAAGACTTAAAAGAAAGTTTTGGAGGTCTATGGACTTCTGTAATTCTGCTTTTAAAGTATCCAAGAATTAGTCACCTTAGTAACAACCAAAGTTGCGTGAAATGCTAAATGCTTTTTAAATAGAATTGGAAATTGATTTACTTGGTGCTCAAAAAGAATTTCAGCTCCCACCTCTCCCCTCTCTTCTTTGCAATGCAACTCTGCCTTCAAACATCATTCTTTAAAAGGAGGCTTTATGGCTTTGGAGGAGTAAGCTGATTTCACAGCCAGTTTTGCCACTGCTGTGGAAAAGAGAGTGCATATGCAAGCCAGCTGAAGTCATAAGCACTGCAAGAATTAGGGCTGCAGGGCCACTGCTGTCAAATTGCAATTGGAAACAGCTTTTTCCCAAGCACAGCATGAGAAATCGGGGATTCTTATCCACAGCTTGCCAGGCCGCTGGGTTTCTAATCAGGCCTGGCATGACCCATTGGGGATCAGAAATGTGAAAGTCACAATGAAGCCAAACAGGGGTGTCCTCTGGCTTCCAAGTGTGGCTCTTCCTGGCTCCTTGCCAGGTCTGAAATTATTGCCACTCACCAGTTAATAAGAAGACCGTTTCTTCAGGGGTACCAGAGGTCCAGGAAGGCGTGACCAGATGGAACTACAGGCTCAGCTGAAAGTCCTCTCTTTATGACAAACTCTGAATGCATCAGTTCTCTAACTATCCCAGTTCTGAACCTAGTCTCAGTTTCTTCAACTTTATCTGTCACTCAGAGGTAACTTTTTCATAGGAAAACTATTTAGTGCTCACAGAAGTCAGAACATTCCATGAAAGTTCTTTTCTTGGTACTCCAACTTTAGGGAGAAGAGTCAGTTCTTGAGAAAACAAGCTCAGGTCAATAATTTAGGTTTAATAAACACCCCCCGCCCCCGCAAAAAAAACCTCTCAGAGTTTGTGCTTTAAAAAATTAACCCAGATGTGGCTCAATTTCCTACCCCCTTATCTAAATCTAGAAGCTGAGAGATGCCTCAAAACTCAGAAGGCAAAGAGTACAGTGTCCACTTCCTTTGTCTACTCCTCAGTGGCCTCAGAGATGAATTTACCACAGTAGAAAAATGAATTAATCAGATTTGATCAAAAATGAATTCGTCCAGTAAGTTAGCAGCCTACTTGCTGCACAAAATTCCTCCATTCTGATAATGTTGTTATACGTACGATGGCACCCCAGAGTGGATGAGCTGCAGCAGCCAAGGCCACAGATTCTTGACTGAAACTTCCTTGGATGGGTCTTTTCCAGAAGGACTGCAGTCTGACTTCTTAAAAACTTGCTTTCAATGTATAACTCAAACCCCATTACTCAATGGACTCTGCCCTGGTTTTCAGAGTCAATGGATTTTTTTCTTCTATCTTTCTTCCACAGCAAGCCCTTTCATTATAGTTAGTTGCTACCACGTGAGTATTTCCCCACTAGAAGGTGGATTACTTCCCTAAAGTGGGTGATTGTGCCATACTTACTTCTGTAGTCCATCCTTTACTCTGCTCTGAAATTAAAGTTCAGACTGAGTTCAAACACAAACTGTCTGTTGTCTAAAGGGTATTACCAATGTATTATTATAACTGCATATTGCATAACCACCTATTGGTCAATTACAAATCACATGTATGCTTGTAGTCCTTTAAGAACACAATGAAGCTGAAAAATGGCCATGGTCTAGTGAGGTTGCAGCTGTCCACACATTGTAGCACAATATGTTATTTGCACATTTTGGATAATGCTGGTGTAAACCAATTATTTGCAATGCCAGTCACATAAGAGTACAGCAGACAAGTATGCATAATCTATAGTACTTGATGATGATAATAAATGATTATGCTACTAGTTTGTGCATTTTCTGTATACTTTTTCTCATCTTACAAGTCCTTTATATGCTTACAGAGAAGTATATCTTAACGCTGTGTTACTCTATCAGTCTCACACATCTAGAGGTTAGCACGTCTCATCATTTTCTCCCCTGCTTGATTTAACATCACGATGGCCCGAGGAGCAATAAGCTATAACATAAAGGCTATGTATGTAGTAGGCAAAACTAATTAAGTCTGTGTGAGTATAGTCTGAGTGATATTCACACAATGACCAAATCATCTAATGATGCAGCTCTCCAAATGTGATCCGTAGTTAAGCAATGTGTGGCTGTATTTAGCAAAGATGTTTTTAGAAATGAAATATAGCCAAATGATGGGCACTGTTTTAAAGAGTAGAATAAGCTCATGGGGAAAGTATTACATATAAGCTGGATGTTCAGCAAAGAGCCCTAAGACTCTGAAGTATTATTCAACTATCATTAAAAAGCTTATCTTGGGGCCGTGGAAATGGCTCAATAAGTAAAGTGTTTGCCAGGCTGAGAACCTGAGTTCAGATCTCCAGTGCCCATGTAAAAGCTGGGCACTGCAGCAGCACACATCTGTAATCTTAGCACTGAGGAGGCAGAGACAGGGGGATTCCTGAAGCTCGTTGGCCAGACAGTCTAGCTAAATCAATGAGCTCCAGGTCTCAAAAAATATATGGTGGAAAGCAATGTCCACCAAACATCTGATGTTCATGTCTGGCCTCTACATGTATGCTTATGCATATGTATGTGCAACCACATGCACACATATACATATAACACGCTCACACAAATTTAAAAAAAAGAAGCTTGTCTTCAAAACTCAAAAACATTCTGACTCATTACAAGCTTCCCAAGAGCATTCATATTTTGGGATTTAAAAAATTCATAATAGGGGCCAGAGAGATGCCTCAGTGGTTAGAAGCACTTTCTGCTTCAATTCAATTCCCAGATTCAATTCCCAGCACCTACATGGCAGTTAACAACTGTCCGTAGCTCCAGTTCCAGGGACTCCAATGCCCTCTCCTGGCCTCCCTGGGAATTGCATGCACAGGTGTGCTTATATACATGCAGGCAAAACACTCATTCACATAAAAATAAAAATTAAGTAAAAATTTCAAAATAACATATTCTCTAATAAAGCTATTATTTTTCTTTCTTTTTCTTAAGTGCTGGAGATTCTAGAAAAGCATTCTACCACTGAGCAACATCCTGAGCCCCCAAAAGCAATTAAAGTAATTTAAAGATCTACATATGAAAATCTAACTATATTGTAGAGAACATTTTTACCTAGAAATCAGATAATGATTCACTGGTAGACCACCACCCCAGCAATATGCAAGTCCTGGGTTTGATCTCCAGCACCTCAAAGCAAAATCAAAACAAACAAACAAAATCCAAACAAAACAAAACAAAAATGAACGAATCAAGTAAAATAAAATAATTCTGATTAAAATTATGAATTAACTGGGCTAGTGATATAGCCCAGTGGTAAGACATTTTTCTAACTTGCACAGGGATCTAGAGTTACTTCCCGGACCACAAAACAAACAAACAAACAAACAAAATGATGAACAGATGAAGCATTCCTGTCTAAAGCAATGAAGTCGGCTACTTAGAGGCACTCTGACTTCGGCAGTGCTTACCTTTGTGAATATACATCTACTGAGCATCTTCAGGATGAAATAGCCCCAGTAAAGGTGAAGGCCCTGCAGGATCATGAGCTGGAGGTTGAGGAAGATGTATGAAAAGAAAGGCTCAAGGTAATGCAGAGGCAGAATCAGCGTGCAGTATAAAATCCTGAAAAACAAACAGATGGGGAAAGTTCATTGTGACCAAAGCACTTGAGAATTTTCAACAAGATAACACATTACTTTTTCTCCCCAAAACATACATCATTTAATTTCAAATGATGTTCAGAAGATTCTCAAGAGGAAAAAAGGGGGATAATGTTACCATTTACATCATGGTTAGCAAGCAATAAAAAAGTACCCATGTGACCCCTGAGGAACAGATCCTCAAATGACTTGAAGAGTAAAAATAAATCGGTTTATCTGGGCCAACTGTATGGACTTAAACACCCAAAAGGAAAGTATAACCAAAGATTAAAGGGGCCAATATAATATCATAAGATTCCATATGCATAGCTAAAGGCTACATAACAAGCAACAATTCCAGACAGGCGATACCTTCTTTTGAGTTGTTGGCCAGGGTGGCCAAAGGGACTCCCAAATAATAATCCAGCACAGAACTGGGAAAATGAACAGCAGACCCCAATCTTATCTAAAGGAATATTGACAACTGATTACTGTTAGATGAGGAACAGCTGACCCTCCTAAAACAAAAGACCTCTAGATAGGCTGACCAGATTCACCAGAAGGGCAAGTAGTGGGGAATGGCTGGGGGTGCTGACAACACAGCAGACAATAGCAGGGATATCAGAGTATAAGGGCTCTAGTTGGGGGAGGGAGGCTATGGGAGGGTGCTACCTGGGAAATGTGTATATAGTCGAATGAGATGGTTTGGGATGTTCTGTGTGACACACACACACACACACACACACACACACAACAAATTAAAAAAAGTACAATCTATCTTTCAAGAGAAGCATGAAAGTGAACGATACTGTATGCCTACTGCTCACTCTAGAGTTCCTGTACCTCAGTTTCCTAAAGCGCCCACTACCCTTCTTTACCCTCTAGGGAGAGGGGAAGAGTTAAGAGAATCAAATAAGACAACACATTTTTCATGAGGTTATTTGCATCTTATGATAGTCTCATTTATTTGGTGACAAAGCTATCAGAGGAAGCTGGGATGTAGTTCAGTGGGAGAGTGGGTACTTTGCAAGCACAAGGTCAGGATTCAATCCTCAGCACCCCTCAAACACACACACCACAGCACAAATTTCATGATTACTTCCCAAAGTGAATACTGCCTATTTTATCGGTTTCACAAGAAGACCCCTGAACAAAAATTTTACTGTCCTTAATGACCCAAGATGTACAATGTCTTCAGATATTATTGCAGTAATTGTTCCTTTACCAAACTTCACATACTACTATGATTTTAGAGTACTTGGAAAGTTTGTTTATAATCATATTATGTAGTAATAAAAATAACAATTTGTTCATTTAAATTTGGAAAATAAGAAAAGAACAAAAATTGCTCACAATACCACAATCTTAAACAAGTAATTTTAGTGCTTTGTCTTTCAGTGTCTCTTATACATTCAAGTTAGTTTTTAAATTAACATACAATCGAACTTGCTGGGCTTGGCGGACAGCTCAATGAGCTGAGGGATACAGAGTGGCCATCATGTCTAGGATCCCTGGAAGCCTCTCTTCACAGTCACACACTCTCCACCTTAACCTGTACAAACACTGACCTGCTCTCCATCCTTCACTCACGTCTTTTCAGGGACATGTAAGCACAGTTACACTGCACATTTTTGAGACTGTCCTCTTTTACTCGGCTTAGTGCTTTAAGATTCAGCCAAGTTCCTATGGGTACAATAACACATTCCTTTGTGTTACAGAGTGGTATCCCACCGGATGGATGTATCACACTTTATCTGTTCGTCTACTGAAGAGCATTTGAGTTGTTTCCAGTGTTTGCCAATTATGAACAGAATCACTATAAACATTCACACACATGTTTTTGGATGAACAGAGTTGTCATTTCTTAAGGGTAAGTATGCTGGATGGAATTGTTGGACCACCTACAATCAGTACAGATTTCACTTTACAAGAGAGTAAAGCATCATTCTGTAGAGTGGCTGCCCCCTTGCACGCAGAGCCCTCCAATTGTTCAAAACTTCCTCAGCACTGTGTATTGTCTTGTAAAGTCTCCATATTAAATATGGTAGATTTTATGTTCAAATTCATTTATGTCAAAACCATTTTATACTGTTTAAAAAAACTCAGTGTATCCGAACTTTCCGAAATGGAAGATTTCTTTAAAAGTATATGTTCTTAAAAGTGAGACAACTATTTAAAGTATACATTAAAGGTGTGAAAGTCCAAGGAACATATTAAAAAGTACCCAAACATTACCAAATTATTTTCTACAATTACAGTTTGTAAGGTCACCAGATGTTTATGAATTGTTTCACTGGTCCTTCTATCAGAATCTAATAAGTTTAAATTTTGCTAATCTAAAGATCAAAACAATTTTATCTGGCATTATTTGAAAGACTTTTATTTTTTATATTTTATTTATTATTTTTTATTTTTTATGTGCATGAGTGTATTGCCTGAATGTATGTTAAGTGCACCCATGCTGTGCAGTGCACGTGGAGGTCAGAAGAGGGCGTCAGATCTCCTGGAACTGAAGTTACAGATGGTTGTTAGTCACCATGTGGGTTCTGGGAACCTAACCTGGGTCCTCTGCAAGAACAGTTAGTGTTCTTAACCACTGAGCCATTTCTCCAGCCCCTTACAAGACTTTTATAGCTTACCTATGTCTGCTCAGTAGTTCTGTTTCCTCTTGTTTTTTATACAAGTTATTTTTTATGCAAATATCTCTCGTTTGTTTTTCAACTAAAAATATAACTTTATTTTTTTATATTCAGGAAATACATAAATTGCAGAGATTAAGAAAAAAAACCCACCTACACTCTCATAACTCATAGAAATCTCAGAATATTATCTCCCACTACATGATTTTATATGACAGGGCTAACACTATACATGGAATTTGGGGCCCTGTTTTTCCCACTCCATAATGTGTTACAGAGACCTTTCCATATCAATGTCTCTAGATGCATGTTAGAAGCAAGCAAATTTGTCCGCAAAGAGAAAGTTAATAAATACTTCAAGCTGCCCAGGGCACTCAGACTCTGTTGCAACTACTTAACACTTCCATTGTACCAAGAAAACACTATATGACACTGTGCATTACATAAATCAATTCGTGTATAGACAGTATAAAAATGAATGGGTGTGACTGGGTGTGCTCCAATAGGCTTTTTTAACAAAACCAGGGCATGAGCTAGATTTGACCTATGAGCCATAGTTTGCCTGCCAACCTCTGCCATATATCAACCTATGTTACAGCTGTACCAAAATCCATTTCACAAACACACCATAACTTAATTAATCCCTAATTGAGAAACATTTAAATTCTTCTCAAACTTTCACTGTATTTTTAAAAACACTATAAGAATTACTTGAAAAAAAAAAAACCCTCTGACAAATTGTTTGATTCTCCCTTTAAAATAACTCCAATTCTTAACCTGGATCAAATACTATATTCCTTTTATATTTGGCAGTATATTGCTAGACTGATTTCAAGACTGTACAATTTGTGTTCTTGTGCCCAACATGACAGCACCTGTTTCCTCAGATACTGAGCAACACTGCATTTTGTCAGTCTCTAGAGAAAAGAACATTGCCTGCTTATGCTTGTTTTACTTTATATTTACACATTATTGGTTATTTTTATTTGTTCCTTTATGAATTGTTTGTATGTGGTATTTGATTCTTTGTGGATGTGAGGCTATTTATTGGATCATGGGCAGCTTACAAGTTGTTGCACCTTTTTATCTCCAGTGTTGAACATTGAACCAGGGGCTTATGTATGCTAGGCAAGCATTCAACCACAGAGCAACACCCAGCCCACATATGTCTGTTCACCATTCCACAATAAAAGTCCCCATGCTATTTTGGTTAACTTTCCCCTGGGTCCCTCTGCTTGGCATTTGGGCTGAATTCAGTCTGTTTTGCAGTCTGCTTTGCAGACCCACCCTATGTGGGTGGGTACCTTACCAGTAGGCAGATTCCCAAAGCCATAGCTACAACCTGTGATCATCCATGTTCTCTTTTGTTCTGCCCAGGGCCTTGCCCCTTACTAAGTTCCCTATTAGAATTTGTGTCAAAACTGACAAAAGAACAAAGTCAAAAATATCTTTTCACAGTCTACCAAATAATGTGAATTAGCAAACATATAGTTGCTTGTAATTCATGCAAAGAGAGTGGCATGGAGCAATGGGAAGATTCTCACTGAACTGAGATTGACATCCTTGCTTGGCTTGTGGAAGACAAAGAGTGTTCCAGTTAGAGGAATACTTCACTATGTACAGAGACACCTTCAGGAGGGAGGTATGATTTCCATGGAGCTATGAGCCTCAATGGTAGTATTCTGAAGGTTTTGTAGTTTATAAAACTCCTAAAAGAGTTCTTAAAGGCAGAGAGTGGCAGGAAAGGGTGGCCTTAGAGGAGGTGGCAGAGGTGAATGGAGCCATCTCTGGTAGGCCTTGCACATCAGGGTCGGAGGTGTGGCCTTGGTTTTAAGAGCAATAGGAAACTGGGTCTTAGAAAGGGGTGGGCACACCTGACAGCACATCAGAGCTAGATTCGAGACATAGTGCTACTCATTTCTTGCTTCAAACCTGCAGGAGTCACTGAGCTCTGATTCTTCAGTCATAGGGTAGAACTCACCCCACCCCTCTGTTAAGGAGGCTCCAGGGGCACACTCAAGGAGCCTTACAAACTTTCACAGCTTTCAGAATGGAAGAGTCTGCCATTAAAGTGCAAATGCCTCGGAAAGAGCTGAGTGTGAGCAGAGAGGAGAGGCCAAAGGCCTGGGCTCTAGAGACTGTGAGATGTAGGTGAGGGTTCACAGATTTCTGCAAGTGCCTGCACCTCACTGGGCTGCAGTTTGTCTGTAAAATGAGAACTCCCCACCCACCTTATCAGGTTGTTATGAACACTGAATGTGGTGACACATGGAGAGAGCTCAGCACGTAGTGAATACTCAAAACATGGTAATTATAGTTATTATTCTTACTACCATTATGACTT